ACACACACACACACACACACACACACACACACACACACACACACACACAAAGCCATGTGACTGTCAATGTCCGTGAAAAGCTTCTCAGAGAACTGGACCAGTCTTGGGAGCACAAGCTATAACTGTAGCAATAGATGGGCCGAAGAAAGCATTCCTTACGATGAAGACCAGAAGGGTTTTTGCTGGGGAAATTGGCCAGCCCACAGGAGAACTGCAGACTGACCTTGAGGATCTTGGAATGACCCAGCTGAGCCTCTGTCTCAGTGAGGACAGGCACAGCCTGCAGCGCCCCTTCTGAATAACCAGCCTGCTCCTGGCTCATTTCAACATGGCTGCAGTACCCAGGAGCAGCAGGTGGGGTGTGGAGGGACTCAATGTTAACAACATAGGGAGCAATCCCTCCCAAAAAAGAAAAAGGGAAACCACATTATTATCGTTGATACCGTTATCAATGTTGGCCATGAGTTCACAGTGCGTCTCTTGTCCCTGCTTCCTGAGTACTGGGATTACAGGAGTGAACCACCATGCCCAGCTTCTAAACTTTAGTTAATATCTTCAAAGGTTTAAGGAAAAAATAAAAATGCAGCCTGGGTGTAAGAACAGGAAATCAGGAAATAAACCATGCACTAAGAAAGAGTTTTTAAAAGTTAATGTATAAGCAATAGGAATAAAATGAAAGCTAAGCAGAGTGGTACATACTTGTAATTGCAGTTCTTTTTGTGTGCATGTTTTTATTTTATGTGTATGAGTGTTTTGCCTGTGTGTATGTATGCCTGCATGCCCTGTGCCCAGGGAGGTCAGAAGAGCGTGTCAGATCCCCACGACTTGAAGTATAGACAATGTCAAGTTGCCATGTGGGTGCTGGACTTGAACCTGAATCCTCTGTGAGAACAAGTGGTCTTAACCAGTCATGAATCAACACCCCAGCCCCATAATCTCAGTTTTTGGGAGCAGAGGCAGGAAGACCAGTATTCAAGGCCATCCCAGCTACATAATGAGTCGGAAGCCGACATGAGCTACATGAGACCATGTCAAAATACCCCAAACCCCCAAAGAACCCAAAACTCATTAGAACATTTGGAGACATGCAAATTAGAAGGGGAGTTCAGGGACCTGGTATGGATGAGTCCTAGCAGGAGAGAGCAGACAGAGAATAGGGAATGACTATTACAACAAAAAGAGAAACCCTCAAACTGGGGCCTGGCAAGGTGCGTGAGAATGTTCGCACCTAAGCTAGCAATCTTAGCTCAGTCACTGGAACCCACACACTCCTGAAACTGTCCCCCGACTACCATATGTGCACTTTGGTACATGCACACACACATGCACACACACACACACACACACACATGAAAATGTAATATAAGACATTTTTTAAAGAAAAAAAATGAGCTGAACATGGTGGTAACTCACCTTCATTCCCAGCACTCAGGAAGCAGAAGCAGGTAAAATTTTGGTCTACATAGTGAGTTCCAGGACAGCCAGAGCTGCATAGTGAGACCCTGTCTCAAAAAAACCAAAAAGAATAGCCAAAGTGGAAATGTGTATTAATCCAGATTAACAGGGCCCACACCCAGTGCTCAGCCTGGAAAATGAAGACTGACCCACCCAAGCCACATCTGATGGAATTTTAGGGTGCCAAGAAAAGATGTTGGAAGCTTCCAGAGGGAGAAAATAGGGTACATAGAAAGATTGGGAGTCAGGAATGCCGCGGCAGCTGTCCAGTGGGCCATCACATCAAGGATGGGAAATGGCTTCCCATAGCTTTAACATTGCAGTGCGGAGGATAAAGTCATCCTCAGACATGCTGAGTTTCAGAAACTTGACTTTGGAGCCTACCTTTGGAACCTTTACTCAGAAAGTACTGTGTGATTTCCTACACCAAACGAGAGCAAGCCAGCCCAGAAGAAAGGAGGGGTGCAGCGCACAGCGCACTATGCTGTCCCATATGCCATTGAGAGTCGTATGGAGAAGAGGGGATGAGACAGCTGGGGACAACGGTGGAGAGCAGGCAACTGCCCCCCCTAGAGGAAGGGGATGGGAGAGGCATGGCTAAGAAATTAATGACAGGACGTTGCCTATCTATCCTTCTGGAGAAATAAACCACAAAAGTTGCTATCCAGAGTTGGGCATGGTGGTGTGCACCTTTAATCCCAGCACTCAGAGCCACAGGCAGGAAGATATCTGAGTTCAAGAACAGCATGATCTAGAGTGAGTTGTCTAGAGTGAGTTATAGACTAGCCCAGACTACATAGTGAGACCCTGTCTCAAAAAACAAATCAGTGTCCAACCTAAATTAAGCATTATAGGGAGTTTATCGGCTCATGTGATAGAAACTTTTAGATGCCCTGATTTCTAATGAAACTAGATCTTGTGTCTCAATATGCAAGAGCCAGCTTATCTCCTGTTTTTCTGTCCTGCTAGCTAATGGGCCAGCTTTACTGTATAACTGAGCTGGTGGAGGCTGGCTCTGTGCTTTTTCACTCCTTCTGAGAAAAGGTGAAAGACTGTTCTCCCTTACAATTCTAGGCAAATATCCTAAGATGCACTTTGATTGCCCTAGCATAGATCATCTGCCACTTGTGGCCCAGGCACTTCAACTCCTTGCAAGATACCCTGAGACTATTTTTAGAAGTTGGTGGGGTGCGGGGGGGGGGGGGCAGCAAAGATGGCCACACAAGCTCCTTGTTTCCAGGTGGGAAAAGCGCACAGACCCCCGAGGAAGGTTTTACTACGTGGATCACAACACCCGGACCACCACCTGGCAGCGCCCAACTGCCGAGTACGTGCGGAACTATGAGCAGTGGCAGTCACAGCGGAATCAGCTCCAGGGGGCCATGCAGCACTTCAGCCAAAGATTCCTCTACCAGGTGAGAAGCCAGGAGCACGCCAGGAATGGCGCGCCACCCTGCACATCAGTGTCTGCAGCCACACACGGGGTAGACCGCTTGGGGAGCAGGAGGAAGGGTGGCCAGAGATGGCAGCACCTCGACGCCGCAGACTTCACTCAGCACAGCGAGATTCCTCAGTCCCTAACGCAGTGACACCATGTCCTGCCTCTGCTCAGCGCCTGTGTATCTGAGCTGGATTTGCCATTTTTCTTGCTGTTTTCTTGAGTTGTCTTGGCTCCCAGGCGGGAAGGCCTGTGGCAGCTTGCTTTATTCAACTTCTCTATAGTCTTTAAAGATCTCTGAAAGGGGTCCTCTCTGTTAGCCCAGATTTCAAGTTCTTTCCCAGGTTGTCTAGGTCAGACTGGGGAGAGGTCTGCCTTCACTTCTGCTTGGTCTTTTTGCAGTTTTTCTTTCTGCTACCTCTCATTATAGCAAGCTGTCAGGGTAGAAGTTTGATTTGGGAGGGGGCTTGAAAATGAAACTTAAATGCAAAAACAGTTTTCTTTCTGAGTATCGTGGACTAGTTTCTTCAGCGGCAGGCGTGGAGGCTCTGTATGGATTTGGGGAGTTACCTTGTTTCTGTGAAATAGAGGATGTCTTGTACTGAAAAAAATGTGGTAGGAACTTTTTTTTTTTTTTTTTTCGTCTGCTTTAAATGTCTCCGTTGGTTCTCTCCTGCTTTTGGTTTTCCCTCTGTTTGCTACAGTGCCATGTCCTGGTTACAAGGAAGAAGGCTTGCTTTCATACAGTTATTTTGGGGTTTGGCCTTGTCCCAGGGTTTGACTAGGAAGACTAAGATCTGGTGCTGTGGTAGCTACAACCCCAATCCTCATCTTGCTAGGCTTAAACTGAGATCTTGTTCTTTGCTGCACTTTAAAGAACATGAAACATAGTTTAAAATGGGAGTCAAGGGCATTCAGATCGCTGGCTCCTGCCATCCTTTCCCGGGCCTGCCTCCACATACGTGCGCCTTTTCCGTGTTCCCTGGGTTACTAGTCTCTGTATTTCTGGTGTTTTCTTTTCTTTTCTTCTTCTTCTTTTTTAACTGCCTAAGGTGCTTTGTTGCTCCGAATTAGCTTGCTTCACCCTTGCCAACTCTCTTTGCCCTGTGTTTGTGTTCCTGCTGTGGTCCACTGAGGATACCAGCAGTCTTGTACATATATCGCTGCACCAGCACCCCTCCTGAAGGCTCCTCTCCCTGTGGAGGCTCTGTCTTCATTCCACCTGTCCTCTTCTGATAACTAAAGGAGGTCAGGGTCTGTAGTGTCAGCCCAGGCCAGTCATCCTGTGGTTACTGCTGTGTACACTCAGATTGTCCTATCCAGAAACAGACGGCTCCATCTTCCCTCAGATAGCCCTTGGACCATGGCCTTGGGCACCTGGGCTTTGCTCTGGATCCACCAGGCGCATCCTGCAAACATCATGCCTGCCTTCTGCTCTGTACCCTTCCCAGAGTCTTTCCTGCCTTTGGCTGTGTTTGTTCCACATTCTTTATGTCTGAGTTTGTATCTTAAAATATTACTGGGACTTTGTGTTTAATCCCACAGAGACTTGAACTCACATGAGTTTTCTGGCTCATGGGTTCATCCTGGGCTCCAGCCCTGGGATATTCCCAGGAAGGTGGTTCAGCCACCTTCCGTTGCACTTGTGTTTCTGGTTATGAAGGACACTGCCTTGTCTCTGAGTTCCTTGCACCTCCAGGAGCTTTGTTCCTGGGCATCAGTCCCCTTGTCCTGTCTGTGCTTTCCTGGCTTTGCTCTGTGTAACACACTTGGGCCCCAAGGGAAGATGAGGAGAAGGGCATTTAGTTGTCCAGTGAAGGCATGGGTATTTGCTTGGGATTTTCTGGTCATGATGTGAAGATTTTGTTTGTTTGTTTGTTTTTCTTCACTTCTATGCCCTTCCTTTTCTTATAATTTGAGTTGTAAAATGTACCTTACAGAAAAAATATCAAAAAAATAAAAAATAAATAAAAACCAAGTGATCCACTTTAGTAAAATCACTGTTAGAATCTATCAGTTCTGATTGCTTGTGTTGTATTCTTCAGTCTTGTCCATCCCTCTGTTTCCTATCTGTCTTTTCCTCTCTGTCCTTCCAGTCTGAGAGTGTGGTGAGTGGAATTGATATCATAAGAACTAGAGGGTACCAAGGAAATTCAATAAGGAGCGCTGTAATGAAGGAGAACCCGCATCGTATGAAGTTTGGGATAGAAACAATAAAACTAAAAAAAAAGCAAAAAGGGTTAAGCACAGGGTTCCTAGGTAGGTGCAGCAGTCCACAGTCCACACCTGTAGTCCCAGCTGAGGAAAGCTGAGGCAAGGAGGTCATTTGGGCCCATTTGAAGCCAGCCTGAACTACAGAGAGATTTCATTTCAAGGGAAGAGAAGAGGAGGTTGATGAATATTTTGGTTCCAAGTTCTGTGCCATCAGTAAAGACGTTTTGGCCTGGTTGTAGAGCTAAGTGTAAGGTGAGTAGAAGCTGCCGAATCCAGTTACTACCAGTTGGTAGCTGATACCCTGCTAGAGCCTGGGGTACTTTATCCATTACCTACACATTCCAGAGAGCCTAAAGCACCAGATTTATGTGCCCCTTCTTTTTTTTTCTTTCTTTCTTTCTTTCTTTCTTTCTTTCTTTCTTTCTTTCTTTCTTTCTTTCTTTCTTTCTTTTCTTTCTTTCTTTCTTTTCTTTCTTTTTTTCTTTTGTTGTTATTTGTTTTTTGCTGTGTAGACCAGGCTAGCATTGAACTCACAGAGACACATTTGCCTCTGCCTCCCAAGTGCTGGGATTATAGGTGTGCACCACCCCGCTTGGCCTGTTTCAGTTGCATGTGCTCCTTGGTAAGAGTATTCGCCAGCATGTGTGAATCCCTGGGTTCAGTGCGGGAAGGCTGCTGCCATGCCTGTTGCTCAGCACTGACCTGCTTGTGAGCTGACGGATGCACGTGTTTCGAATTCGTTCTTCAGCTTCAGCTGCTCAGTGTGTTCATGAAGACTCTTTCACCGTAACTGAGAAACAGAGCAGGAGTGTTCTGAGGTGCTAGGCCTCAACACCACCCGCCTTTCTAGTACTCAGACACACGTTCAGATGCCCAGTGTGAACTGGGGAGAGTTTTAGTAACAAGGCCGATCTGAGTTGGGATGGAGTTGGAGAGGCCCCAAGATGAGGCCAGCTTCCCCCAACTTTGTGCTGTGCGGCAGGAGGCCCTCTACCGAAAGGGATCCTGTCTCATCAAGGAACCTATGGTTTCGAGACTTGAATGACTCTCTTGGAACTTACTTGGAAGAGGAGCCTGTGTTGCCACCTTGGGAAGAAAGTTTCTCTGTCCCTTCAGCCGGGGTGGAGGGAGGGCTGTGGTGGGGGTTGGTTGGCAGTGGAGTGCCACCAGTATTTGTTCAAGTGCAGACTGAGCCCCATTCATCCTCCTGCTCGTGTGTGTGGCTCTGTCATCCCCAGATGGAGCCAGCCAGGTCTGCAGCCTGAAGTCTGCATTTAGAACTTGATCCCCTAATATGATGATTAAATTCTAGTAAGTGAAATGAAAATGTTTGAGTGGGGGAGAGAGAGGAGCAGAACAATACTTGTTCTCTTTAACTCTGAAAAGTTTCTGACGGTGCACCCCACCCCGCTTCCCGAAGGCTCTGAGAACTCTCCATCTACTGCGGCCCTTCCCCTGGGACCTTGAAGCAGAAATAGGCTGAAGGGCGCTAGTGTAAACAGTGACCCTGTCGTCCTGGAGCCCCTTCCCCTGTCTCTTTCACCAGCCCCAGCCCCACCTCCCCAGACAGGCAATCACAGAACACTGAGCAACTTCAGGTTCAGGCAGGGGAAGAATAAAGGTGCTTTGTGAAGGGGAAGGAAAACATTCCTGGGGGAGGTGAGGGGCTTGGGGCATGAAAGTGCCCTCAGTCTGGGTGGACGCTGCACACCCAGGAGGGAGGTGGCGGGAGGAGGGCCGGGCCCCAGCCAGGAAGCCCTGGGCGTGGGCAGGGCTTGTGGGAATGATTTCATTGGAAAGGCCTGCGGTATTTTTTCCCCTCCTGTGTGTGGTTCTTGGAGAAAGTTGGAGGTGGTGAGGATTTCAGTTGCCTTGGCCGCCGGGAGCAGGAGCTGAGCAGAGGTCGGCAGGGAGCTGGCGGGGAGCTTGCTCTGAGTGCGCCTGCCATGCTCAAGGCCTGGCTGCTGCCTGGAGCCCTTGCCCGCCTTCCTGGAGCGCCTCTAACCTCACCTGCTCTCCCTGCCCCTTGCCCTCTCGGTGCTGCATAGAACGCTTTTTTTGGGTTTTCTTAAACAAAGACTTAAAAGGGCAGATGCTGTCTGGGATTCCTCCGAATTCCTGCTAAGGGCTAAAATGTGGAAGTGAGTCTTTGGCTTTTTAACTTCTATTGATCCATTTACTTTTAAACGAAGCTTCTTTTTTTTTTTTTTTTTTTTCTTTTTTTAAACTTCTGTGTTCTGCTCTCTCTTGTGTTTAGTCTTCAAGTGCTTCGACTGACCATGATCCCTTGGGCCCCCTCCCGCCTGGCTGGGGTAAGTATTGAGTTCTTGGTCTTGTGTTAGCAGTCATACCATTCTATCCTGGTCTTCTGCGTGTGCTATCTCTTGGGTTTCCGTTGCACTTAAACAACGGAAGCGTGTGCTGAGGACACCCAGTTGGCGCAATGGCAGGGGCAGAGCCATCGGAGTTCTCCTGTGCTATAGTAGCACTCACCTGCCCCAGCTAAAGGAGCGGGACCCCAAGAAAGAGTTCCCCAAGAGGCTAGGGGACTGTTGGGTTTGAGTACTGAGTTTCAGGGTGGTGACACAGGAATCTACCCAATCCCAAAGTTATTTTGATGCACCTGATGTCTATGCAGATGTCTTTCTGTCTGTGACCCTGGTTTAGGGTGCCATCCTAACAAGTCTTCTGCTTTGCAGTTGATACACTGGAGGAAGGACGAGCAGCCTAATTTGCTTGTGGTCCCATTGTGAATGAGACCACAGGGACGCAGCGTTGCACCCTGGGTATCAGTCCTGAGAGTGCAGCCCTGCTGGCCGTCCCTTGTCTCAGCAGCTACTCCTTACCCAGCTTGGGTCCTTGGTAGGATTGGCCAAGAGTTAAGGCACAGGTAGTCATTAAGGGCCAGGCATCCATGACTTGGGAGCTATCATAGGCTGTTCTAGGAAAGAGTACTATGCAAAAAAGGTGTCATTAGAAATGGCAAGACACAGGAAATTCTGCAGCTTTCTGAGCTGGGCAGGATTTTGTTCAATCCTACAAGAGTCCTTAATGTCAAAGGGAGCAGTTATCACAGGAATAAGTAGGTCCTGGGTTTAAGTTCTTGGTTGGGGTCATGGAGGATGGTTAGTGTTGGTGTGGTAGGTGTACATGGGTGGGGAAGGGCCGCTAGGATGGTGACAGTGATATCAAGGGCATCTCTGAGGTGTGCTTTGGGGTAAGATCTTGGTGCAGGCACTGCTGTTCCCCGACAGTAATTTAAGAGGTTCTATCAACTCCCCTAGAGTACCAATGAGATGGTACATTCCAGAGGACAAAGACGCTCCCCTATTCTAGCACTAAATATTGATTAGTAAAAGCCTGTGGATTCTTGATTTCAGCTAGAAAGTCCCCATGCACACAGATGACTTGCCTGGTTCCCCGCCCCCAGCATTAAGGTTACTGGCACCTCTAGGGTTAGCAGGTCAAACATGAGGTTAGAACTTGGGGGCCCTGACATGGGCGGGGGAAGTGCTTCAGGCTAGGCAGGAGTCTGCAGCGCCACATGGCTGTGGTGACTTGAGTCTGGACTGGAATTTGGATTTGGCTGTGATGGGCAGCTGTGCGGCTCCATCAATTGTGCTTACTTCTTTCTGTAGCTGTCTTGCTAAGTGACAGTCACTAGCGAGCGAACTACAAAAACTTGAAGATAGTTCACAGGTGCGAAGTGTATGAGCATGTGAGCTAGGAAAAGAGGAGCCACACTGAGGGTCAGTGCTGTCCATGTATAATCAGAAGAGCAGAAATACCCCACACGTGAGAAAAGAACACTAGGCCGGGCATGGTGGCTTTGGCCTATAACGTTTAGGCCGAGGCAGGAAGAATGTGAGAGTTGGAAGAAAACACTGTGACAAGAACACAGTGTTTGGGGTTCTGGGTTGGGGTCTCGAGGGCTGTAGCAGGGGCTGCCTTTCCCTAAATGGTAAGAAGGGTGGAAAAGCAAGGCCAAAAGAGAATGCCTTTAATTGTGAGTGCACCGGTCTTCTGTTTGGCTTGAGGTCTCAAGTGCCCTTGTACTCACTCCTCCAAGGAGCCCTCATAGCTGTCCCTAACTACTGTTTGGGGATTTGGGACACATCCAGTTTAAGAGTTTCATCTGCTCCTGAGCAGCCATAATGAGTGACAAATGTTTCCAAGTCCATTTACCCCTAAAACATGGTCCTGCCGTGTTCAAAGGACTCTCTCCATCACTGGGCTCCAAAACTATTCGTTGAAGGCTGCCTGTGGGTACACAGGCCGCGAAGCAGTAGCAACATAAGGCAAAGTGGCCAGCAGCTCAGACCCACTGGACAGATTACCCGCATTATTGTTGTCCTTTGATTTGGCCCTTGGCTGAGCAGCCGTGGAGGATGTCATTTGCAATGGTGGCTCCTGAGCTGGGGCATCCAATCCATCAGAAACCTTAGGGCGGGGTTTGGTGGGGTGGTGAGGGCTGCTCTCCAAGGCTAGAGTACCCACTAGCTAGGGATTGAAAGTCTATAAAGGCTCCAGCCACCCCTGTTCTTTCTTTCCTTTATTTCCGGAGCTTTGTGAAGATTTGGTTGACAAAAGTCTATTCATAAACTGTCAGTTGTGTAGACAACAGGTAAGGCAGAGTCAGAGACCAGATCTCAGAGGAGATAGAAACTAGTCCTGCATGGTCTGGAAGGGGGCAGGGCTGGTAATGGACTCCCCATCTCTTTCCCCTTTTCAGTTTTTAGGTTCCTGTAGCTCCTGGAACTGATTATCGTCTCTTTAATCTGTGTCACTGTGAAAGAGTGAGAGTTGTTAGTGTTGCTTTTGCCAGGAAGGAAACAGCTTTGAGGAGCTTCCTGGAAGGCCGCTTTGTTGGAGCCCAGAGCTTGCCTCTGGCTTTCTCCTACCCACCCAGAGCTGGTGGGTCACCCTCCATCCCACTCTCTGAGGCAGAGAGGAGGCTGGCAGGGCAGCGGTGCTGCACACAGCTGGATACAGCTGCACCCCTGCTTCAGCAGGCCCCCTCTGTACCACCACGCCACCCTCCTCTGACAAGCCAAGCAACCACAGAGTTGGGAACGCGTGTCCCCTTCTCCTGCCCTGCAACAGGGAAAGGCTCTTTGGCTTTTCCCCCAATGGCAAGTGTGAGTGGGTCAGATTCTCTCCTCTTAACCTTCTGTAGCAGGTTGGCATTGGGGACAGAGGTTCTAATCCATTTCACAGGCAGCAGCACTGAGGCACAGGCTGGTTGAATCTGATTGCACTCTCTCTTTTCTTCTGTGGCAGAGAAGAGGCAGGACAATGGACGGGTGTATTACGTGAACCATAACACACGCACTACCCAGTGGGAGGATCCGAGGACCCAGGGGTGAGGATCAGTCGGGGACCGTGAGGGATGGCTGAGGGCTCTGGGCAACTGCTGCTGTGGCCAGATGGCCTTTGCATCTGCCTCACAGTGCTAACATCAGGGGACTCTTGAGGCCTCACATATATACTTGCTACCTCAAGAGCCTCAGGGCACAGGAGAGCACCACCCTTTCCTGGTGGGTGCAGGGGCATGGAAGGACATCACAGGCAGGAGATGAGAGTTTGATTGTCAAAAAGTTGAGGGCATTCTTGCCCCTCAGAAGCAGGGCAGGGACACTTGGAGTCTTAAGATTGCTAGTGAACATCCAGGCTGATGCTACCCACGCAGGCCTGTCATTTTAGCCCCATAGTAAATGGCCCCTTTTTGCACATGACCTGTTTTCTCACAGCTTTAGTCTCACCAGGTGCATATCTTAGAGTGTCCTCTCCCCCATGGTGAGCTCTGAAGAGCCTGGAGAAAGCAAAGACAAAGTAGGACTTTGGGGAAGTTGGCCTTCAAGCACAGGACAGTCAATAACTCCTCTTCTGTGTTTTCAGGATGATACAGGAGCCAGCCCTGCCCCCAGGGTGGGAGATGAAATACACCAGCGAGGGTGTGCGCTACTTTGTGGACCACAATACCCGCACCACCACCTTTAAGGATCCTCGTCCAGGGTTCGAGTCAGGGTAAGGACTCTCTCTGCCACAGCCTTGTCCCCCAGCACAGCCCCAGTGTGTCCTGTTACACTGGGGAAAGAGGTCTCTATGAGTGTGTGCTGTGCTGACCACTGCCCTCTAGTGCCAATGTGGGTGTCATTAAGGGCTGGGGGACCCTCCTTACCCAGAGCACCGCTGAGACCTTTCTCTCTAAGTGAGAGGTGTGGCTTCTTTGCATGTCTGTCACTCTCTTGGCAGTCTTACTCTACTCCTCTTTAAATTCCCGGAGCAGAGCATCCACTTTTTCTAGGGCTCCCAGAAATGAACTGTTCATTTTCTGAGAAATCAAATAGGTTCCAGCACAGCCTTTGTTTTCGTCAGGACAAAGCAAGGCTCACCTGGTGCCTACGACCGAAGTTTTCGGTGGAAATATCACCAGTTCCGTTTCCTCTGCCACGTGAGTTCTGGTTTGGGGACTTCTGTGGGAGTAGGGCTGGTAAGTGCTGTCAGCTTGGTCTCCCACATAGGCACGGGAGGAGATGTCTTAGATAGGACCAGGATGCTTGCCCCACACTGAGCTGCTTGTCTGGAAGGAGTAGGCTTCTAATCCTGGGGCGTGGAACTGTGTTGTCACAGATGGGAGAGCCCTTTGAGTGGACATCATGGGGAAGCCACAATTGAGTTTTCCTTTCTTTTTCAGTCAAATGCCCTACCCAGCCATGTGAAGATCAGCGTTTCCCGGCAGACACTCTTTGAGGATTCTTTCCAACAGGTTAGGTTATTCCTGATGCCGGGATCCTGGGCAAGCAGGCTTCCTTCCATCACCCAGTCCCATCTCATGGCCACATCTGTTAGACAGTAAGCCTTAGACAGAACCCCCGCCCCCACATCCCTGCCTGCTGTGCTGGGGTCAGGGGCAGGATGGCCGGATGCCCTGTCTCCCCAGATCATGAACATGAAACCTTACGACCTGCGCCGCCGGCTCTACATCATCATGCGTGGTGAGGAGGGCCTGGACTACGGCGGCATCGCCAGGTGAGCTAGGGTGCCCAAAGGCTCTCTGCCCTACATCCCCTGACATCAGGGCCCCGTGGCTATAAAGCTTCCTCCTCCATGCTGCTCTTATCCCCGAATTCTCCTGCATCAACAGATGTGATATTCAAAGTAATCTCTTGGGTTGGGTATGTAGCTCAGTTAAGGTAAGATGCTTGTCCAATGTGCAGGCCTGGGTCTGGCCCCCAGCACCACTTCATCAGGCATGGTAGCTCACGCCTGCACTTGTACCATTTGAGAAATAGAAGCAGAAGGATCAGAAGTTCAAGGTTGTCTTTGGTTACATAGTGAATTTGAGGCCAGCATGGGTCTCATGAGACCCTATTTCCAAAAAAAAAAAAAAAAAAAAAAAAAAAAATATATATATATATATATATATATATCATTATAAATCTCTCTGGTGAGTACCAGTAAGCCAGTGAGCCATGAATCAGGGTCAGGCCTCAGCCTTTTGGTTATTAGATTATGGGGATGCCAGAAGCTTCTTGGGTAGGGGTATGGTGTGCGGCTCTCTGCCACCCCACATGCCATTTTCCTGGAGTTAAAAAAGCAACCTGTCATTGTACCAGTGGGCAGTAGCTAACACTGGGTCTGTGGGTGTCCTTTAAGATCAACTCTCCTCTGAGAGCCTTCCCTCCATTTGATGCCAGAGCAGGTGAAGTCAGGCTCTCGGCGGAGCGTGTCTGATGTGTCTGAGTGTATTCATCCCCTGCTGCTGTCATGTGTACCAGTTGACAAAACTGAAACAGTATAAACCCTGAGAGACCTCAGAGCACTGTGTTTCCTTCATCCCACAAAAGTTAACAGGCTGTTTGGGAAAACACCGCCTTGGACGACAGGCAGAGGGCCCTAGCAGTGAGAAGGAGCGTCTTGGCTGTGGTGACCTCTCTGCTGAGCTTCTGGTGGGGGGTATCTTCTCGCTTGGTGCTGGGCTCACCCGCCTCTGGTCCTGTTTGCTGGTGGTGTAGTCTTCTGTGTTGATCCCATCCTGCAGATGGCTCGTTCTTTTTGTCCGTGGTGACCTCTCCAGGCTTGGTGGGCTTCTGGTGTGGCTCCCGCCCTGTGTGTCTCTCTCTGTGTCCTGCCAGTGGTTTTACCCTATGGTAGGTTACGTCATGCTGTTCTACCACAGGGTAGAACCACGGACAGGATACCGGGGCACCCTCTGCATCGAAGGACTCGTCTACACAGCCACAAACAGCCCAGAAGCCAGGGGCTGGTCCCAGCTGGTTTAGCTCAAGCTCTAAAGGACTCTGAATTCTGGCTTGAGGCACATACCTAGGGTCCAGGTAGATGCTAAGGCATCTATCTCCTGGGTGGGTGTCGGTTGAGAAGAAAGTTTCCAAGTTTGGGCTAGGGTCTGCTCATGGGTCCTCGGGTGAAGGGAGGGAGATGTGCAAGCCAGGTGCCTGTGGGGTAGCTAGAAGGAGTGAGGTTCCTGAAGGCCAGATGAAGCCCAGCGCTTTCAGGGTTCTGTGTTGGGAGCGTGTACATTGTTCACCTTGCACTGCGGACCAAGTGGGGGTGGAGCAGGGCGGTTATTGTCATGGAGCAGAAATGCAGTCGCAATAAACATGTGTGTCTATGAGTTCATCACATTTACTTATTTATTTATTTGGGGCATAGGTGTCTGTATATGGCAATATACCATGTATGGAGGTCAGAGGACAACTATGGGACTCAGTTCTCATCGTTTGCCAAGTGGGTCCCCGGGATTGAACTCAGGTTGTGAGGCTTGGATGCAAGAGCCTTTACCTGCTGAGCCTTCTTGCCTGCTCAGTCTGTAATGCTTTAATGTAGTACACAGAGCATGTTGGCCCTGGGTGTGAGGCGCCCCTTTGCCACCAGCTCTACATACTGTAATATAAACGTGCCCTGGGAGCTGACGAGCACACGCACAGGTTTTCCTGAGCACCATCTTCCGATGCTGTTGTCCTGCCTCACCTGAGCTCTGGAGTAGTCTGCCTCAACGGCCTCCCCAGGCACATGCCTCCAGGTGGCCTGACCCAGCAGGACCCCAGCTGCTGTGCGGAGGGCTCCATTGTTGTGTCCTCTCTTCCCCACAGAGAGTGGTTTTTCCTCCTGTCCCATGAGGTGCTCAACCCTATGTACTGTTTGTTTGAGTACGCTGGGAAGAACAATTACTGCCTGCAGATCAACCCGGCCTCCTCCATCAACCCTGACCACCTCACCTACTTCCGCTTTATCGGCAGATTCATCGCCATGGTAACGCCAGGGATGCCTCCCTTCTACCCTGCTTCTTCTTAGACCTCTGGGAAGGGCAGCCCTCAGGAGGCTGGCTCTAGTCACGGAGGCAACAATAACATAAACATCAGCCCTCATGGACCATTGTCCTGGCCCCGACCCCGTCTTTCTGTGACTCACAGTGACTCTCTCCTCTTCCTCATACAGTTTCTAACCTGGAAATTAAAAATACATACATACATACATACACGCATACATACATGCATATATACATACATACATACCTAAATAAATAAGAGAAGCTAGATAGCTGTGGAGGAGTGAGAGACTTCACGGTGGCCACACAGACTTTCTCATGTTGTGTAGTACATACTACGCAGAAGCCCAGGGAATTCACCCTAGTCTGTAGGGACTTAGAGGATATGGCCGGGCAAGCAGAGCCCCGACTGCCTGCCAGGCCTTTCTCTTGGAGGTGCTGTGTCTTCCCTGAGCCGCAGTGGGGAGGGAACCTTTGGGAATGTCTGACTGAAGCACTGGGCCTTTTGGAAGAGAGTTAGGAATCTTCCTGGGCTTAGATCAGAGCCACAGTGAACTGGCTGGTGTAAGGTTGGGGGAGGGGTTGGTGCCCAGCAACTGAGCTCACCTAGAAATAACAGGCTCAACATAGCGGTGCAGAGGGTCATGCCATGTCCTTTGTGATGACCCACAGAGCCTGGGAGGCTGTTGTCCTACTGTGCTCCAGTGCCAGCTTTTCTATGTTGACGTCCTGAGTCTTCCCACACTCCCTTCTCTGGAGTACCAAGGGACCTACAGCTCTGTCACTAAATATGGCCATTCCTGTCATCTGGAAGTTCCTGACAAAGAGCTGGCAGTGGCTCCAGAAGTGGGCATTCTCTCTGGGTCTAGAGACCTGCCTGGCCTAGCAGCCAACAAGGACAGAGCAATGAAACTCTTAGACTATTAGTCACCACCGGCCGCCATCTCTCCCCAGCCTCAGTGTCTGCATTATTTTTGGCCTCTTGTGCCACCCGCTCAGAGTGCCAGTGAGTCAAGGCTGCCACCTGCAGCTGTTATGAACAAGTTTGCTCTGGAAATGGGGACAGGCCTTTACTAGAAGAGGGAGTGGCCTGGCCAGTGTGCTGAGCAGACAGTGGGGCTTCTTTGCCTGTCCCTGTGGCTTTCAGGATGAGGTGAGTTTGTCCCTATGTCCAAGGAAGAAAGGAAGACAGAAAGGACAGTAGAAAAGCGCCTGTTTCGCAGGTGTCCCTGTTAGCTGGGCAGCTGGCTCTCAGGGAGGGGGGCAGGTGGCACCGGAAGCACTCTTGAGTGTACCTCAGGTGCTGTCCCAGGAAGGTCAAACCGTTTGCTGTGCTTCTTCCTTGGCCAGGCTCTGTACCACGGCAAGTTCATCGACACAGGCTTCACCCTCCCTTTCTACAAGCGGATGCTCAACAAGAGACCAACCCTGAAGGACTTGGAGTCCATTGACCCTGAGTTTTACAACTCTATTGTCTGGATCAAGTGAGTCCTACCTAGCCCCCTGCTGGTGGAGCAGGGCTCTGATTGGCCAGTTGATGCCCCTGGCCTTGATTTCCTCTACTAGAGAGGTCCCCGGGGGCTCACTTGGCCTCTCCTATAGTGATGAGAGCTTCTAGGCCTCCTGTAGGGCAGTTTTAGAGTTCTCCCCTTTGCAGTGGAAAATGCACCAAGCCACGGGTCACCTGTGACTTTCTAGTGCCTGCTGGGGGCCTCAGCGAGAAGTCGGGCCTGTTGGGACAGACCTTGATTTCTCCCCTTGGCCTCCCATGTCCTAGAGAGAACAACCTGGAAGAGTGTGGCCTGGAGCTGTTCTTCATCCAGGACATGGAGATCCTGGGCAAGGTGACAACCCATGAGCTGAAGGAAGGCGGTGAGAACATCCGTGTTACAGAGGAGAACAAGGAAGAATATATCATGTGAGCCTCAGGCCTGGGGGAGGGGAGCATGTCACAGACAAGGGAATGTGCCCTGGGTTTTGTAGTCTTTGACCAGCCCCCACCCCCATAGGGCCCACAGTCCCACAGACTGTGAGAATACGTTAGACGCATCTATCTGCCTTGGTTACAAAGTGACTTGAGCTAAGGACTTGGAGCCTCTGGCCTTGGTCACCAGCTCCGGGTTGATCTTTTATGTATCCAAGAAGCTTCCCAGCCCCAGGGAACTTTTGAAAACTTAATTGTTGCCATGCTCCTGACCCAGAGGATTTCTGTGTCCGGTGTGTTTCTGTCGTCGTTGGGCTCTGCAATGCTGATGTTCACATTCCCTGCTCCACCAGCACAGGGCTAGGCAGGACTCACTTGATCCAGTGATGTACACATTTAGGCTTCTTGGTCTAGTCCATTAAACCATACCTGTGTATGTGTGAGGTTCAGCAGTTAAAGGAGAGCACTGGCTTGGTGGCCTGGGCTCCATCAGTGGCTCGCCTGGTTTTAGGTTGCTGACTGATTGGCGGTTCACCAGAGGCGTAGAAGAACAGACAAAGGCCTTCCTGGATGGCTTCAATGAGGTGGCCCCTCTGGAGTGGCTGCGGTATTTTGATGAGAAAGAACTGGAGGTAGGTGCCGAAGATTGTGAGCCCCTGACCTCAAATGCTTTTAGGGTACCCCATCTCCATGATGTGCACCTACAGAACCTCACCACAAAGTCCCACATCTCAACAAGCTGGAGGCGGCAGGGCAGGCAGCGTCCCCCGGATCCTCAGCCCAATTTCCCCATGCTTAGACAGCGGGTCCTTTGAATATTCTGGGAAAAGCAGCAGGTTGAGGACATTTGGGAGCCGCCTGGTGTGGGCACAAGGAGGCGCCATGGGGAGGGCCGGCTGCAGCCGGCTGACATGTCCTCTCCTGCAGCTGATGCTGTGCGGCATGCAGGAGATAGATATGAGCGACTGGCAGAGGAACGCCATCTACCGGCACTACACCAAGAGCAGCAAGCAGATCCAGTGGTTCTGGCAGGTGCGGCTGGGCCCTCTCCCTGCTGGGCAAGGAGCTTTCGGGGATGTTTAGCTTCTACCTAGAGGCCAAGCTTAAGTCCGGACCCTTCATCTTTGACAATTCCTCCCCTACCCAACTTGGAGAAGTCTGGGCTAAACCCGTCTCTGGGCAGGATAGAGGTTGTGGCTATGTCGTTGCCAGCTTGTGTGACAGAGGTTATTAGCAGTTACTGTGGGCCCAGTTGCTGGGAGCCAAGGGGGCCTGTGGCCAGGAAGTGCAGCTGCAATTAGCTATGGGTCCCCTCCAGTCAGATGGGGCGAGAAAGGAAGGCACGTGTGTCTAGAAAGATGCCGTGAGCTCACCATCCTGAACTGGATGACCCGGTTCCTTTGTGTGTGTGTGTTTCACGGCTGTTGACAAGGAGAGTACGTGAAAGAGACAGATATCCTTGGTACGCGTATGTGGGCTGTATTTATTTTTTCAAGGTGCGGTTCACATGGCATTTGACAGCTCAGGTGTCTCAGGTGTTCAGTGGCTTTAGCTCCTTCATTGTGTTGTGCAACTAACACCATTGTCCAACTCCACTACAGTTTATCTCCCCAAGAGGAAACCCTGTGTCCCCCAAACAGCTGCTCCCACCCTTAGTGTGTCTTTAAAAGCAGAAGGGGGGGGGTGCCAGGCCCAGGGTGTCCCTGGGACCAATTGGTGACCTATGGACCTTTGTAGAGTGTTTTACAAACCCTTAGAGAAAGCCTCCTTGAAGGTCTGTGATTGCTGTCTGTCCCCGCCCAGTGTGACCCCCGCCCCTGGCCTGAGAGGCCCATGCTAAGGTCTGACATGCTGCCTTGTGCAAGTACAGGTGGTGAAGGAGATGGACAATGAGAAGAGGATCCGACTGCTGCAGTTTGTCACGGGAACCTGCCGCCTGCCTGTTGGGGGGTTTGCCGAGCTCATTGGTGCGTTTTTCTTTGCCCTCCTGGGGCCCTGGCTGGGGTGAGGACGTCGAGGGGCGAGGGGCAAGGGGCATGCGGCGTGCACATCTCCCTGGAAGCTGGGGAGTGTTGGTTGTAACTGTGCAGCTTTGGGAAAGGCCCTCTGTGTTGACACAAAGTGCACTTGCCTTGGGTGACAGGGAGCAACGGACCCCAGAAGTTCTGCATTGACAGAGTTGGCAAGGAAACCTGGCTGCCCCGGAGCCACACATGGTGAGTTCGCCAGAAGCGGCAGGTGGGAGCTGTGGGCCCAGGGGGGCAGGACACCCGCAGCCCGGCCTCCGGTACACTCTTCTCTCTCTTTCCCAGCTTCAACCGTCTGGATCTGCCACCTTACAAGAGCTATGAGCAGCTGAAAGAGAAGCTGCTGTATGCCATTGAGGAGACTGAGGGGTTTGGACAGGAGTAGCCGAGGCTGCCCCTCCCAGGCCCTCTAGCACATGTAGTCTCGAGTCCTTCCTGCCTGAGATGCCGCCGGCTGCACAGCCCTTAGGAGCACCCTTTGGGTAGTGGCCTTGCACGGGGCTGTGCTTTGATCATGTTGGTGACCGAAGAATCTGACCCCAAGAGTCTCTGGAGACCCTTCCTCCTATCTGATGATGGCAGTCTGGAATAAAGCCCGTGTTACCTTTGACTCCATCACCTGTTGCAAAGTCAGCGGGCTGCCCTTCCCTGCAAAATTGCCCCCTCCACTAGGACCAAGTCTTGGTGTGTAAGTGTGTGACTCAGAGCTGCTCAGAAGCTGGCCTCACCTGTTAGGTGAGGAGATAGTCCGTGTGGGCTGGCGAGCTGGACCCGGAACGCCAGGGTCTTTGCCAGCAGAAGAGGCTCCGCCGTCATAGACCTTTCCTGGAGTCTGTGGAACGGGCGTGAGGGAGCAACTCTGCATCAGCGCCGCCTGTGCTTCATTCCCTGGCAGACTGCAGCCAAGGAGACTTAGCAGCGGGCACGCGGTGCCACCAGCTCATCTCTTCCTAGCAAGCAAAGGCTGAAGAACCCACTGTGTGTCAGTGGGAAGGAGACGGCAGAACCCCCAGACCTTGCCCCTTGACAGAAACTGGAGGCATGTTCGTGCGTAGGGTTGCTTTCTGGTTTGCTTTGGGTATAGCATTCTCACCTTCGGTCAAGGATCTGGGGCCCTGGTGTTCTGGGTCCTTGCAGGGCCCAACCCTCTCGATCTAAAAGCTCCCCAGACAGCTGCTCCTCTCAGGAACCCGCTTAGCAGTTCCCCCAGTTCAGAGGCCTGGCTCTGCCGCCCAGCGCATCCCCACCACCTTCACTGTCCATTGACAAGGGCCCTTTGCTGGACACCAGGCAGCCCCCAGCTAGCAGCAGGTGATGAAGCTAACTCCAGGGGCCTCTGGAACCCACCGTGGCTTACAATGGAGCACACCCTGGCCAGCTGAGTGTCTGTGCTATGCAGGCGTGAGACTTTACCTGGCCATTGGAAAAGACACTACTGAAAACCAGCCGAAGGTCCTGGGCTGCCTCGATAGCTTGGCTTGATTTGTGGAGCTCCTGACAGCTTCCCACGTAGGAACACAGGCCCTTCTGGGGTGCCGGAGTGGTTATAGTGGCACACTCCCTCCCCAGGCCCCCCATGACATACTAGCTCCGGGGCACCCTGGGCACGCTTTCTGACTAGTCCTGGGAGTCTTCCGAGCGCAGTCCCTTCCTACCTTCATCCTTGCCCCTACAGCCTGTGAAACCCCCACATCGCACAAGCTGGTCCAGATGGCTCAGCTCACCGCTGCTCACCCCCTCCTCTCCTGTGCAGTCACCTGCCACACTCCCCATGAACATCACAAAGGCTGCTCCGTGGCTGGGTGGGGGACCAGCTGCCAGCAAGGTTTGTAGAAGCATCAGGCTCACAGGTGTGAGTGCGCATGTGTGTGCGTGTGCGTGTACACGTGTGCGTGCATATGTAAAATGAAAGTGCATACAGAAAGGCCTGTGCTAGCTAGCGCCAAGTTGGTCGACAGATTGTTTTTGTAATGCCTGCCCCGCCTCGGTATTGCCAGTTTATTGTGCAATAAACAGTCAGCAGCCGTGGAAGTGTCCGTGTGGCTGTTTCCACACACTGTGTCGTGGAAAGAGGCGTCCAGCCCCACAGGTCTTCTAGTGTCCCCAGGCCATGGCAGAGTAAAGATGCTCCAGCCTTGCTGTCTTTCAGAGTTTAGGTACCGACTTCTGGACTGGGAGGCACATCCTTCTCCACAGGTCGCCTGCCTCAGCCTGGTCACTGTGTCACACTCTCAGCAAGAGTTGTCTGCTTTGGAGCAGAAGAGCTGAGATTTGGGTAGGGCTGTCATTCACTCAGGAAATGGCTCAGGTGGCACGAGTCCCACGATGAGGGATTCATGATGCTGAATTCGGGCTCACACCTTGGCTCACCACCGGTTATCTTGACAGGTAAGGCTTCAAAGATGGATCAGGGTGTGTTAGTGCCTTCTTAGAATCCTAGTGCATGGAAGGCCGAGGTGGAAGGATTGCTACAAGCTTGAGGCTAGGCTTCACAGCATGCCCCTGCCTTAGAAAAAGCCAAAAGGGAGTGGAGAGATGGCTCCATAGTTAAGAGTGTTTACTGCCTTGCAGAGGACCCAGGTGCAGTTGTCAGCATCCACGTGGTGGCTCATACCACGTATAACTCAAGTTCCAGGGCATCTCTCGCCCTTCCTGACACACACATTTGTGCACAAACAGATATGCAGGCAAAACACTCATACTCGTGTGTCCAAATGAGCATGGGCTAGACCACCACCTAAGGAGTTGACTAATTTGACATCAAAGTGACCTCACATTCTAACCACACCCTGATGACAGGAGGCAGAGGCTGTCGTCCTTGGGGCTCCCTGGCAGTTCACTTCCGGGAGTTCCAGAGCTGCCTCCCTCTCTCGTTTTCTAACGTACCCAGTGCCTTCCCGGGGTGAGCTGTGGGTGTGTCCAGTGGCTTGCCAGTGCCTGCACAGCTTGTCCAGTGACATTGGGCAGATCCGGTAGGAGTCAGTCCTGAGAGCTGGATTGTGGCTTTGGTAAAGTTTTGAGATAGTTCTTGCTCTGAAGCCTTAGAATGGTGATCCTCTTGCCTCTGCCCCAACTGCTGGGACAGACACTTGCCACCACTCCCCAAGTACACTTTTACCTTAAAAACGTAAAGTGTTCCGGTTCAAAGATACAAATGGTCTGCCACAATAGGCCTCCACCACTCTGGTTCCTCGGCCACTTTCATGCCCAGTCCCGTTCCACACCAGAGCCATTCAGACCTGTTACCACCGCAGCAACTCCCACTGTTAGGTCTCCGGCCCTCCACGTGTCTAGAAAGGAGCTGAAGCTGGACAGTAGGATTCCTGGCGGTTAGCTAAAAGCCAGCATTCCCCAGGAACTTGTGGAGTGGGTGTTCCAGCCCCAAAAGTCGCTACTCATCCTACTCGGACCTCCTCATCCTACTTAAGAGTCCTCAGGATTCATCCATCAGAGCTGGCTCGCTACCATCTGTTCTCTGCTTTCTGGTGCTCTCTCGCTCTACGCTTCCTGTCCCCACCCCACCCCTCACTATTCTCTCCTGCCTCCCTAACAGCTCTGGCCGTGGGCAGCCTGCTTTCATTTCTGTCTGCCCTGGAGTTTCTTTACCCAGCATACACTCATGACCATGTCGGGCACAGGCCACAGTGTCCAGTTTCTTTTTCCTGTCTTCCCCTTTTTGCTCTCATTGCTCTTATTTATAAGGTGTGTGAGCTCAGTCCTAAAATGCTTCCAGTTCCCCACAGTCGATCCTTGCTTAGTGCTTTGCGCCTGGCAGTGTCTGACCCAACGATCTGTGATCTAGGTTTTAAATCAGGCTTTTACCTCCTCTGTTTGGTGTGACTTTATTGTGTTTACATCAGAGAAGGGAAGTGTGGATTCACTGTGCCATTTTTCGAGTCTCCGTTTGATTTCTTTTCGGCTTTGTTTTAACTTCATGAGCAGGGGGCTGGGGAGAGGCATGTGAAGGGGGGGGGTACAAGCATGTATGCGCCCAGGGCGCGGCCAGAGCAGGCGTCTCCCTCCAGAGCTCCGAACAGTTATTGGTCGAGACAGGGTCTGTTATGGCTGAGCTGGGTGGCCAGCAAGCTCCTAGGCTCTGCCGGTCTCTGCCTCTTGGTGCTGGGGTCACAGTTAGGAGCAGCCGTGCCTGCCTTTCAGCATGGGTGCTGGAGATTCAGGCTTTCGGAGCAAGCCTCCTTACCCACTGAGCCACCTCCCCATCCCTGTTTGTTTTTGAGACAAGAGCTCATGTAACCCGGGCTAACCCTAAACTTGCTCTGTAGCTGAGACTGGCTTGGAATTCCCGCTTCTCCTGCCTTCTCTTCAAAAGTGATGGAATTATGAGCACATGCCACCAGGTGTGACAGATTTATAACATTTTGTTACATTTTGTGGGGGGGAGGGTACTCATGCCGTGGCACAGGTCTGAAGCATCCAGTTATCCAGAGGATAACTTGAAGGAATCTGTTCATTTTTTGACCATGGGGGCTCCAGGGAATCAGAACTCAGGCCATCAGACTTGGTGGCAAGTGCCTTTACAAACACCTAGCTCTCTCACCAGCCTCCCTTTCCCTTTCTGATACAGGGTCTCATATAGCCCAGGCTGGCCTTGAACTTGAGAATGACTTGAACTTCTGGTTTTCCTCCCTCCACTTCCAAATGCTGGGCTTACAGGCACACACCACGAGGCCTGGTTTATTGGGGTTGGGGACCGAACTCTGGCTTTGTGAACATCAGGCAAGCACGGTATCAGTTGAGCTACATCAGCTGCCCCCATTTGAGTATCTTTGTAGAAATAAGGACATTATGCCAGGTGACACAAGCAAACCACAAAAAGAAAAATATGGAGTTTCCATTTACATGAAGTCGTCAGAACTGCAGACAAAAAGTAAAACAGTGATTGCCAGGAGCTGGGGAAGAGGGAATTGGTGTCTACTGAATATAAATTTCAGATTTTTTTTTTTGTTGTTGTTTAGTTTTAGGTTTTTTGTTACTGGGGTTTTTTGTTTTTTGTTTTTTTTAATGAGCCAAAATTTTTATTTACTCATTTCTTGCATTTGGAGTACTCCTCGCTGACATCCCTTCCTGAGATTCTTTGCCCTAGTCCTTACCCACTACGACCAACCACTTCTCCTCTCCATCGATCTCAGGGTGGCCTACCTCTTCCCCGGTTTCTTCTTGTCATCAACCCTAATCAGGTTGATCCGGTGCTCACAGAGCGCCCCCACCAGCTGACACACAGGGGCTCATCACAGTTGGATGTAAGCACACAAAGACGGGCCTGGCGCGTGTCTAAGGCTTCGGCAGCTTCTCAGATGCTCGTGCTAGGCCATTGTGGATGAGGGCAGCACCTTCTCCAGTACTGACGACTATTACACCGGCAGCAGCAATGCCCTCGGCCAAGCGGTGGATTACGGGTGAGGCCGGATCTCGAGTGCACCTCCACGCAACTTGGCGGCAGGGGAGAAAGTGTTAGTGGGTTTTTATTTTGAGACTTCAAACGTTAGCACGTAGTCTCATCACTTTCCCCTCCCATCCCTGTGATCCCGCCTCAAATCCACAATCTCTTCTTTACTGTTAGGTATCTACACAGATGTGTGTCTGTGCACTCCGGAGTTCAGGCAGGAGGAACAGACTCATGGTTAGTCTAGCCTATACAGGGCAATGCAGTGTGGTCTGCATAGCAGGAGTCTGTCTCAAAACTGTCAACAATAAAAGAGCAGGTGTGTGCGGGCGTGCCTGTAATCCTATCCGAAGTTAAGATCATCTGCAGCTACATACTGAATTGAAGGCCAGCCTGGGCTACACGAGTCCTGTCTCAAAGAACTAAGAGCAGCAGGGGCTGGGGCACTCTGCCTTTGCGTTTCCCACTGGCATTGTCCTCATTGTCAGACACTAGAAGACCCGAGTGCACCGCTGCTGCTTACCCCGAGATGCCTTTTTAAAACCTTTCTCCACATTCAGGATACGTTGGTTGGTTGACTGACTGCGGAGGGCTTGGTGCCACAGCACACAGGAGAGGAAGCAGTTCTCCTCGCCACTATGCCAAGACTAGAGATAGAGCTCAGGGCAACAGGCTGGTTTTTGTCAAATCGACACGAGCTTAGATGCATCCGGGAAAAGCGTCACAACTGAGAAAATGTCTCCTTAGATTGGTCTGTGGGCAGGCCCATGGAGCATTTTCTTGATTGATGATTAATGTGGGAGGGCCAAGCCCACTTCGGGCTATGCAACAATTGGGCAGGTGGTCCTGGACGGGAAGAAAGCAGGTTGAGCTAGCTGGTAAGCAGAGTTTCTCTGTGGCCTCTGTTCAGTTCCTACCTTCAGGGTCCTGCCCTGACTGCCCTCAGTGATGGAAGGTGACTCGAGAGTTGTAAGCTGAAATAAACCCTTTCTTCAAGTTGCTTTGGGTTATTGTGTTTTGTCACCATAGAAACCCCCTGGGTCATGTCCCAGCCCTCTGCCGATGTACCCTGAGGTAGGCGGGCTTCTTAGGTAGCCCCCAGTGTTCCCCTGCTGAGACCTATAGCTTTAAGTTCTCAAGTGTGGCCTAGTTTAGCTTCTGTTTCCAGCCAACAGAGCATGACAGCAGAAATGGGATGTTCGGGCTGTGATTAAATTGCACACACCTGTGGCCTAGCTGCCAGCTGACCCTCCTTACTGCCTTCCCAGCACGTGCACTCTGAGAACGAGGCTGGTGTGGTGGAGAAGCCCTTATGACAAGGGATGGAGGGCCAGTGAGGAAGGGTTTCCAGTAGCCCGTGAGGCCTTGAATCCTGCTAATGGCCACTCAAGCTTGTGACTGGCTCCTTTCCCTGCTGGAGCCTTCAGATGCCAGCAGCCCAGTGGACAGCTGGGTTGCAGCCTATGACTAGCCCTGAGCAGATGCTCCAGGTAAGCCTTGGCTGGAGCTGCTGACCTACCACAGCTGGGAGATAGGGAAGGTATGTTGCTTTGAGCAGCTGTAACTGTAGGGTCTCATTATTCTGCTATAGATGCCTTCTACACTCAGATCAAATGGGTTT